GATCACAAACAGGGCCGCCAGTCCACCCCACCGAGGTTTAGCATGCCTTCTCTGATAACCTTGGCAGCAGTCCGGCAGGACTTGCGGAAGTGGGAGCTTGCTCTTCTCCATAGCTGGTTTGGCTCTGAGCCATGGCGCTGACTGCTTATGCTGTACCCATTCCCCCTGCTTCATGACCACTATACCATCCCACTGAGTCACAGGCTCCATGAGAAGGAGAACAGTTCTTTTTGATTTTTTCTTGGTGCTGGTCAGGCAGGCAGGTGTTCGAGTCATTGTAGTGAAGCCTTCATTAGAGCAGGAAGGGGCTTCTGGCTGAGCTGAGCTGAGAGCTGGGCAGTTCAGGTTGGAGTGACACTTTGCTCATGTGTCTAAGAAGCCACCAGGGTCTGAGTCATGCAGTGACGTGTGCTCTGGTGTCCATGTGGCTCCTTCACACCCCCTCCTTTGGGATGTTCCTTCCTGCTGCCACCTCAGGCCCACCTCTCCCAGTGGTGGTTTGCCCATGTCCTTCATGCAAATGTGTCTATGACAAGTGCAGGAGGAAACAAAGACTGTCTTTGTGCTGCTAGGGAATCAAACCCAGGACCTCATGCATGCTGGGCAAGCACTTTACCACTGAGCTACACCTCGACACCAAGGTTAGATTTTTATGAGCTTTAGAAAAAGCAATTGGACTTTGAGGACTGGATACGTGACCCCTGTGATGGCTGCTCAGGCTTTGGAGGGTCATGATTACATTCCAGATGCACAATGGTATCTAATCTGAATTATTTCTGAATAAATGAAGGTTTGCTGTAGAAGCCTTTAGAAGTAACATACCCTTGTTCCTTTCAAGGCTACACAATACTGCTAATGTGGAATTTTGGAGGAAGAGCGCCGGATACAGCTGATGAGTTCTGACATGCTTTCAATTAGTATCAGGCATTTGGCCTCAAATTAACGTTGTGATGCTCTCATCTCTAAAGTACATTAGCTATCTAATGTGTTTGCTATTCATTGGCATAGTAAAACTTTTGAAAGCAAATAAACAAACTCAACAGAAACCAAACTCACAGAATTCCTAAAATTAGGAATCATGAAAGTATAGGAATTAAAAAAATTATAATGCCCAAAGAGTTCTAAACAGAGTGTTTCCAGTACAAGAAAGGAAGGCATATTTCGGCAGGTCGAGACAGATGAAAAGGAAGACTTTCCTGGGAGACAGGTTTCTCCATCAGAAGGGAGCGAGGCTCAGGAATTCTGGGTGCCCGGGACCCTGCAGTCAAGACCCATGGCTCCACAGATGCTCAGGACCCTTTATGAGACTGGCAGAGGGGCCTGCTGAGACCAGCTTGCGGGGGCATTGGGGAGAAGCCAGGTTCCTTCCCAGGAAGGCATTTTGAAGGCTTAAACCACATAATGATATTCTACCTCCGAGGAAGTCACCAAGCCTGGACTTGCTAGGTTTTTATTTACTTGAAGAAATTTCTCCAGCTTTAAACATACAAAGCACAGTTCATTCTGCCAGACCTTCCCCTGGCCCCCTCAACCTTGTACTTGTTGAGAAAATACTCTGGAATTTGGCCTCTTCCTAGGCAGGAAGGAGGGGAGAGATTGAAGGACTAGTTAGAAGAGTAAGAATCCTTTTAAGTATTTGCAGCCCCCCGACCCCCAAAACACTCAGTTCCTTGTGTGGTGAGAAGGTGGACGGAGGTAGAAGCCTAGGGAAGTGTGCTCTGTGTTTGACTGTGGGGGGACCTTAGTTTGGCCAGGTACTACATCCTGCTCCACATCACTATGATGGTTTGGAAGGAGACACCTCAGTGAGAATGTGCCGCTCTGGCCTTTACACATAGTTCTAACTCGGTGGCTCCTCCTAGAAGAAATGTCAGATTTTCTGCTGTGTGGCTTGTGTTCTTACCAGGTGCTATGGACAAGCAAAGGTGTGTCCAGTTAGTTCCCACATCTGTAGGATCCTTAGAGAGAAGCCCACTAGTCATGGATCGGAGAGTCCGTTTTAAATTGTGTCTGTACTGAACACGCATAGATGCTTCCTGTCAGAGTCCTAAGGAACACAGAAAAGCAACTGTTCACATGGAATTTGTATCAGGTATTATAAGGAACTTAGAGGTGACTTCAAATATTGAGGAGGATGGGTGTGGGTGTACGTAAATGCTATACCAGTTTTCAAAAGTGACTCAGAGATTCATGGGTGGGTTTGAGTGTCCATGGGGGACCTGGAGCCAGTCCCTTGGGGGTAATGAGGGACACCTCCATAGTGAGCTCAGGTCATGGTCAGAACTTACAGAGAATGATACTAGGTCATGACCTAGGGGCTCCTTCCCAGGGAAGTGTTTTCCTCAAGGGAGATTTCTCAGACCTGAAGGTGTGTAAAGGCCATTCCCAGAATGCTGGCTCCAGGAAGAGAAAAGAACGAGTGAGAAGGTCCTGAATTAGCAACGAACTGTAGTTTGGAGGATGAACATCAGGGACACAGACGGGACACTTTGAAGGCTACCACTGTGGTCCTGGGTGGAGAGTGAGATGGACAGGTCTGACACACTGGTAGATGGATTCTGGGGACAGGGTGAGAGATGTACAGATGACTCCCTTAAGTCTCCATGCAGGGCGGGCCTGGTAGTGAGGTGGGGGCTCTGGCAGGAACAGGCCAGGCTGGGAGTGGCAGGTGGAATGGAGTGAGAAGGAAGGAAAACCGAGAGTGATGTTTTAGCCACCATGCAGCTGACGTATTGATTAGCATCTAAGAGGAGGTGCTAACATCAGAAGACCACCTCGCTCTGGAGTTGGGCAAGGTCTGAAAAATAACATTAAGCATTCAATCTTAGACATACTTTAAAACCCAGGGACAGTACCGACTTGCTCTAGAGCATGTGTGGAAAGAGGAAGAATGGACATCCAGGTGGAAACTCTGAGGTCATCTCATAGCCATGTTGGATGCTCTGGAAAGAGCAAGTGAGGGATTGGCCACTCAGGTGGGACTAACAGCAAATCCCCTGATGAAAGCAACTTGAGGAAGGTTCATCTTTGGCTCACACTGCAGTGACGTCAAGGTGGCGGGAACTTGAAGCCGCTGGTCACACTGTGGTCACAGTCCGACGGCAGAGGTACATGCTGGTACTCAGCTCCTTTTCCGTTTTCATTCAGTCTGGGGCTCCAGCCCGTGGAATGGTGTTGCACACATTTAGGGTGACTCTTCTACCTCAGCGAACCCAATCTAGAAACTCCTCGCAGACATGGCCAGAGGTTTTTTTTCCTGTGGTGATTCTAAGTCCCATCAGGTTGATGATCGCAGGGAGTCACTGAGAACTTAGGAAGTAGAGCCGCAGGCTGTAGTAACCCTTGGGAGATGTTTTTCTCTAAAGGGGAAGGAAGGACCAGGCACCAGCTGGAGAGAGATGTGGGACCAAGGAGAGGTCAGGTGGTTTCCCAGTGTGGCAGCAGAGAAAGAGCCAAGGGGGTGGAGGTGTGAAATGGCCGTGGAGACGGGAGTTTGGGCCGCTTTAAGCTGTCCTATGTTGCACTAGTTTCTTTTCTCTTTGTTGTGACAAAACACCGAACAGATGCAACTCGGGGGGAGATGGATTTTATTTTGACTCGGTTTAAGAGGATGCCGTCCATCATGGCTGGGGAGCGAGGCAGCTGGACCTGCTTGGTCTGAGGTGGCAAGAACTGGCCACCCCGCTCCTTTGCATCTCTGTGGGTCAGGAATCAGAGGCGAATGCTAACTCTCAGCTTGCTTCCTCCTTTTTCCTTTTCTCCCCACCCATGCTCCTAGCCCGTGGGATAGTGCCATCCACATTTAGGGTGACTCTTTCTCCCTCAGTTAAACCTCTCTGAAGCGCCCTCACAGACAAACCCAGAAGTATTTCTCAGTCTCCAGGTGATCTAAAGCTGATCAGTGGGGTAGACACTGAAGAGTACATCACATTGCTGGACTGTAATGCAGCCCCTGCTCGAGCGTCTCTCACTTTACCCTTCAAGTCTCTCCATGCTCCTGTTACCATGGTGATGTGAGCAGATGCCTCTAGAGACCCTGGGTTATCTCCTTGATCCAGGAAAAATGAAGAATCAGGGACTGATTCTCTACTCTCCAAGCCAGGTGTAGTTCGTGGGGAAAACAAACCCCTTTCCCTTTAAAGAGTTCCCATGGGGTTGGCAGTACTTGGGATGAGGTGGACAGCCCAAGGTTGGCTTGTTGTTTCTGAGTCGTGTCGTTTGAACCCATCTCCACAAGCTGTGCATGGTCCTTTCTTGAGGAATAGACACTTGGAGGGAAGTAGGATAGAAGGAAAGGGAGATTTGAGGGTTTTCAGCAGCAGCTGGGAAGCAGGACGCTCAGAGCCCTCAGGACAGATGGAGCTGGAGTCAGGAATGTATGGAAGCTTCTGTTGAGTGATACAGGTTCTCTCTGAGTGATTTGCTTACCGCCCTCCTTGAGGGTAAGTTCTACTATGGGAAGGGAAAATTCGGCTGGGTGCAGCTCCTCACAAATGCTGAGACATGGGCCAGGGACTATGAGTTCAAGGCTGCAGGCATCCTGTTATGCTTGATTTTAAGAACTGGAGACGTGGCTCAGGTTCCTGTTCACCCAAGCTAGCTGTTGTGGCCTGGTGCAAGTCATTTAACCTGTTGTGCCTGCCTCCTCCCCAGGAAAATAGAAACTGTGGCTTTGTTGAGACCAAATGAAGCCCTCAGGTGTGAACACTGGGGCCAAATGCCCCGGTTTTTAATTTTGGTTCCCTTGATGATTAGCTGTGTGACCATGAACAGGGTACTCTATGCCTCGGTTTCCTGATCTTTACAATTGGGAGGGCACTAACACCTGTCTGCTGAGGTATCCCGGGAGGGGTGGGTGAGGATCTAATGAAGGAATCTGGGTAGCCCTGGGAGGAGCATCAAGGTCCCCTGAGCACTGGCCATTGGCTGTGCTGGGGGAGAACTCATGCAAGTGGACAGGCTGTGTCTGCCCCTGGGTGATGGCTTTGTCTTTTCTCCAGTTCCGCCTGGTGGTGAAGACGGCCCTCAAGCTGCTGCTCGTCTTTGTGGAGTACTCGGAGTCCAATGCACCACTTCTCATTCAGGCCGTGTCTGCCGTTGACACCAAAAGAGGTGAGCAGTCCTTGCCCCAAGACAACCAAGGTGACAGTGTCTCACACAGCAGGGCTGTCCTGTTCTCCAGGTTGGGGAGTCCTCTGTGTGCAGACAGCTCCCCAAAGGAAGCATCCAGGGTGGTAAGCACACAGAGATTAGGGCTAAACGTGACATCGCAATGAAGAAAGCGCTCTCAGCCATGACAGATCACTGTCGGTTTCCTTACTGCCTGTCTGTCCACTAGACTGTGTCCTCCTCAGGGCAGGGGCTCTGTCCCCCAGCTTGTTGTCCCGGTACCCAGCTGCCCTCAGCGGGCAGGCATGCTGCCCAGGTTTGGAAAAGGGTGAATTCTGTGAGCTAAGAGGGATGACACATACCTGCAATCTCAGCACTGAGGCGATTGAAGCGGGAGGATCGTGAGTTTAAGGCCAGCCTGCACTACCTAGCCAAGCCCTGTCTCAAAAAGAAAAAGGAAATAAAAATCATTAAGCGTGAGTTGTACATATGGATTGTACCATGTTGTGGCCCATAGAGTTGTGGAAGCCTGACCCTAAAATGCTGGGCATGCATTGTTTGGTATCTCGGCCCCCCCTAAGACCTAGTTACTTTTACTACTACACAGACTCAGTGAGATAAGGAAGAAAAAATTTGGATAATGCTTTATTTTTCCTCTTTGTAATCATCAAAGTGATACTTCCTTTAGAAAATTTGGAAAACTCAGTCTAAACAACTCAGTGTAAACACTACCAAAATCACTTTCGATATCAGCAGGTGAGTATGCTAACATGGTGGTATATTCCCAGCCAGCTCATGCATACGTGTGTACAAGTCAGCCTAGACGTGGCTGTCCGGAGGAAATGAGGGGTCCAGGTAGCACTCTTGATCTGTCATCTTTGGTGTGAACACATAGGCAGATGCCAGCCTTGGACACGGTCAGTCCAGCCCAGAGGTAACTCTAGGTCACACTATAGGCATATGTAAAAGTGGCAGGACTTTGTGCAGGGTCGGGGTCTGGAGTCTGGAAGGTGGGTCCCAGACCACAGCAAGTTGGCATGCTGTGCCAGATATGAAACACCTTATGATCAGAGCAGGTTGAAGGCCAGCTCAAGGTCTTGAAGAAGTACAGTCAATGGCTCAGAGACCATATCTGGCTTTTCTTGAGCCAGGCCTTCAGATTTAAGGCAAAAAGTAGGGTATTTGAGAAGTTGTTGAGTGGTCATTTATCTTTGCAGGATGTGTGTTCCATCTCTTAGCTCTGGGGTTACTTTGGGATAATGGTCACAGTCTCTGTTCTCCTTTCCTGACTTTTGGGTAGCCCAAGGCCTCTTGTCATGGGGCCATGGCACTGGGGCAGCCTTCTGATGGCTTTGGGGTTCTCCTCTGGCCTTTTTGAGTATGAGCTCCAAGCATCTTTCCTTGGAGATCTCACTGTATGAAGGGCTTGTTGCAGAGAGGGAATGACACTGAGATGAACCTGAGGCTTTGTTCCCAGTATCCAACCGTCTTCCTCTCCCTGCCTGAGGCTTCCACTGTCTTGAGTCTGTCCACCCAAGACAAAATGATGGCCATCTTTTCTCAATTAGTAAAAATGCAAAAAAATCACATAGATTGTTTTCTCAGCTTGGTGGGTTTTGCCTAACAAATTTAAACCTTTGGCAGCTTCTGTCATCTGCC